GAATTCAGGGCATTGTTATTCATTCCCAAGCGTGCACCTTATGACATGTTTGAAAACAAGAAAAAGAAGAACAACATTAAATTATACGTCCGTCGCGTCTTCATCATGGACAACTGTGAAGACCTCATGCCAGAATACTTGAACTTTATCAAGGGTGTTGTTGACAGTGAAGATTTGCCGTTGAACATTTCCCGTGAAATGCTCCAACAAAACAAGATCTTGAAGGTTATCAGAAAGAATTTGGTCAAAAAATGTTTGGAATTGTTTGAGGAATTGGCAGAAGACAAGGACAACTACAAGAAATTGTACGAACAATTCAGCAAGAACTTGAAACTTGGAATCCACGAAGATAGCCAAAACAGAAAGAAACTTTCGGACTTATTGAGATTCCATTCGTCAGCCAGTGGTGATGAACCATGCTCCTTAAAAGAATATGTTGCCCGTATGAAACAAAATCAAACACACATCTACTACATCACAGGTGAAAGCCGCGAACAAGTRTCTAACTCTTCATTTGTTGAACGTGTTAAGAAACGTGGATTTGAGGTTATTTACATGACTGAACCCATTGATGAATACGTCGTCCAACAGATGAAAGAATACGACGGCAAGAACTTGGTATCTGTCACCAAAGAAGGTTTAGACTTGCCCGAAACTGACGAAGAAAAGAAAAAGCGTGAGGATGATCAAGCCAGATTTGAAAAATTGTGCAAAGTTGTTAAGGACATTTTGGACAAGAAAGTTGAAAAGGTTGTCATCAGTAACAGACTTGTTGAATCTCCATGTTGTATTGTTACATCTCAATATGGTTGGACTGCCAATATGGAACGTATCATGAAAGCACAAGCACTCAGAGATTCGTCTACCATGGGTTACATGTCAGCCAAAAAACACTTGGAAATCAATCCGGACCACCCAATCATTGAGACACTCAGACAAAAAGCTGAAGCTGATTGTAACGACAAGGCTGTCAGAGACTTGGTCATGCTTCTCTTTGAGACAAGTTTGTTATCATCTGGTTTTGGACTTGAAGACCCACAAGTACATGCTTCGAGGATCCACAGAATGATCAAATTAGGTTTGGGAATTGATGAGGATTTGCCCGTAGCTGAAGAAAAGACTGCTGAAGTTGATGCCTCCGAGCCTGCTGCCGAAGCTGATGCTGAAGATTCTTCACGTATGGAAGAAGTTGATTAAATTATTACAAAGTGAATTTATTTTGAAAGAACATTTCCTATATTTTTTATTGTTATATTATTTTGAGACTGATTTGTCCATTCTTTTTTTCTTTTTATTTCAAATTTGTTCCAAAACTAACTACTACATGGCAATTTATTTAAATCTTGTAGATTTTTATAATTACCTAATATTCAATGTACACATGTATAAGTTTGCTTGGAATATTCTAGTTATATAAGGTGTTTACAAGTTTTAAAGGTATAATACATGGAATAATTTTTGTACATAAACTGAAAATTGARTTTTTTATTTTAATTACCTAATTAATCCACAAAATTATTATGTTATATTTAGTTGTGAATATGCTTGGATGTAGTTAATGTTCATTCTATTTTAATTGAACATACATTGTGGAGCGGTTTGTACACTTGTTACTATGTTGTAGTGTCAAATAATTAATGGTTTTGTATTATARGAAACTGTTGTGATAGTCAATCTTGCTTGGCATACATTGTTCCAACGAGGTTTTTAAATCATAGTCTTTAATATTTAGTTTAATAATTAAGTTTAATTACCCTTTACTCAGATTTAAAATCTTATCATTGGAGAGTCAAAAACAGGAACACAATTAATTCAAATTGGTTATATGTGCCTATATGTGATAGATTTTTATAGTATTTTAATATCTAGTTGTAGTCTATTTTTATTAATATTAAGTAATTTAAACTTTAAAGGCAATTTGTATGTAAAATATCTATGTATTGAATACAAAACTATACTTCAGGATTAAACATTGGTATTCTGTCAAATAATACAAGTGTATAATAATTTGCATTTTACTAGTGACTTCAAATTTTTTTGCTTGTTACTATTTACTAAGTATTAAATAGTACATACTAGGTAAAAAAGTTATATAATATACTTAAAATTTTTGTTGCTAATTTTAAATTAATTGTGTAGGTTTCATTTTTGAAAGATAACGAGAAAATCCAATAGCAACTGGTAAACCATGTGTAATATTAATWTATGCCTTTTTGTGTAATTGTAATTATATAGAAATAATGATATCTATAATTTACAAATTTACACAATACTTAATTAATGGGAGTGTTTAAATAAGATAATTTTTTTAATCAGTCAATTTCACTTAATGGTATATTTTATTGATCATCTTAAAAATGTTTAATATTTAGTCATGATTATAATCCTTAACAACAGCAAGTAATTTGTTTTTGAATACAGAATGAAATAAACTTTGAAAAGCAATGCAATCTTTTAGTATTATAATTTAAAATTGCAYTTAATTATTACTGAATTACACAAAACACAACAAAAAATAAAATTATATAGAATGATGTTTTTTTTCTATATACTACTCATATGGTACATTTGTACAGATATTCAACAGTTTCAATTAAAATTAAATTTCAGGATATTAATTGTCATTAAAGTTGACCATAAATATTTTTATTTCAATATGGGCATAGCCCAAAATATAGTTATAAACTAATTACTAAATAAATATGCAAATCACTAATGGCAATTCAATGTAAGGGAATCAGATATTGTACTCATTTTTTTAATCAAAMATTTTTTAAGAGGACGCCAAACCCGCATGTGTTGTCTCTGTCRTACAAGTGCGTAGCATAGCAAATTTTACGCTCAGCAGATCACGTTTATCTTCGTTATTTTAAAGTTTAGAGTGAATTGACCTATTATAAAAATTAAAGGCAAGATTATTACCGAGTGCATCTCATAGGCTTTTTATTATATTTTAATTTTAAGCCGAGTTATGAGTAKTTTTAGATATAAAAATGATTTACAATTTTAAAATACTCATTACTCGCTTTAAAATTAAAATATAATAAAAAGCCTATGAGATGCACTCGGTAATAATTTTGCCTTTAATTTTTATAATAGGTCAATTCACTCTAAATTTTAAAGTAACGGAGATAAACGTGATCTGCTGAGCGTAAAATTTGCTATGCTACGCACTTGTACAACAAAGACAACACATGCGGGTGTGGCGTCCTCTTAAGTAGCATTTGTATCATTATATTTAATTTTAGCRTTTAGAATAAACTAGATAAAACAATAATGTTTAAAAATAAGAATAACTTTATTCAACTTGATTAATATGTACAAAAATATATTCCAGATTTTTGAAACTGTTTTAAGAGTTTTCTGATTCAGTAAATCTGCAAAAAAAAAAAAATAATTGTATTAAATTACAAACCATAAATTTACATAGTAAATATTTTTAAGACAAGCAATAGTAGCTCTTACTTGCATTTAAGACAAGTGTAAAACACGGTTTGTCCTTCATCAGCTGATCTTAACTGCACAGCAGCATAGGACATCTGGTTGTGACCACATTTGCTACATCTTCTCTCGGCAATTGGACCATCATCTGCATCATTTTTGTTATATTCAGTTTTTACCACATTATCAATATCTTCTACAGAGTTCAAAATAATGTTGTATTCAGCTACAGAATTTCCATAAACTATAACAATAAACAACTAAAAATTAATGCTTGATAATCTTTAATATATTTTTTATTTTTATTTTAGTACATTAATTGTGGTTTAGTCTATTCTACACAATACCAATATAATACAAGGTGAGTGCAGCAGATGGCCAAGTCAAAAAAGGTAGTCACATGGATTAAAAAACTATTTTTATAGGTTGTGCAGTAATTGTGTTAAAAAATATCTTTAATCTTTGGTTTCTTATTTGCACATCTTTAAAGTTAATTAATGATTTAAAAATGTTTAGTTATTATTCAATTTATTTAACAATTATTATTTGTTTTTATTTATATAGATTTATTAGTAGTAAATAGGGCTCGAGACTTATGGAATTTTCATATTTTTATATTTTTTTTAGACATTTGTTTATAATGAATTTAAAAACACCAAAGAAAAATTTTACTGGTTAGGTGGTATTAATGAAAACACAAATTTGTTCGCAATAAATCCATATAATATTATAATATGCAATATTTTAAGTACAACATAGAATATTTCTTATAATAGTAATGAAAATAATATAATACTCTTAGAATCAACCAAATTTCATGATTTTTTTTTTTTTTTTTTAACTGAAAAATAAATATTCTATTGCCGCATTAAACTTTTTTTTCAATATTTTCCATTGCAGCGTCCTCTCATATAAAATTTCARGCAGTACATTACAGAAAAAGTATTTTCAAAGTAATTTTAAGGTTTGCAGAAATATTGGAAAACCAACAACGGACTCTTGCAAAAACTTTTTTTAGTTAAATATTTTAATAAGTACCAAAAAACTAAACATCACTCCATGTCATCACTCTTGTATCTGGCTTTAAATAAATGTGTTTCATCTACTTCCACTATGCCATGACTATCTTCAATTAATAAATAATCGTGGTTTGCGATCTTCCTGGTAACAACACGGAAGTATTTATAAAACGCTAATGCTGTCTCTCTCTCGAGACTAACCTTTTGTCAAAAGTAAAATAACACAGATTATAAGTATCGACATAGACTATATTTTATAAGCTATAGGTTAAGGCAGTGTGGTACTAATGAATATTGAAAAGAAGGCTGGTCAAGTTAGTTTTCTTATTTTATATTTGAAATTGACATTTCGAATTGGTTTTTCTTGATAAGTAAGAAAATAATATTTTACTTTTGAAGTTTCAAAGTACTAGGCTAGATTAGTTTTTATGAATTATTTATTAAATTAAAAGCAATAACTTAATTAATGTTTATTAATTACATATTTCAGAGCATTTAACTTTTTTTGCATATATTTTTGTGCATTTATGATTATATTTTAATGCATTTTTTCATGATTTTCATTGCTATAACTTCAGAAACTAGTAATAAAATAGCAATACTGTGAATACTATACRCTATACTACCCCAGGAATATTATCATTACCTTTGAAGAGTTATTAATTATGTTTAAAAACAAAATATTTTAATTAATATAATTAATAAAATGATTACAGTATATTCTTTTTGTTATGACATATACTTCAAAATTCAATGAATATTTATAATTTTTACTCTCCTCCAGTAAAAAAGTAAGTTCAATTAAAAAATAAAATAAATGTACGATCATTAAAATCAAMAATATTATTGTTGTTAACTTACTTTCTGGTCCAAAAACAGTTTTACATGAATAACACTTAATAAATTCTTCCATACTCAATGAAGGTAGTATTGAACCACATTTAGAGCAAAATCCTGGATATGTTTCGATGTCGTTTCTTAAATTCATTTGACTTATTTTTCTATAACAGTATTAAAACCAAATTAAATATATTGGTGATTTAAATTTTAAGATTTGATGGTGTAACAATGTCATGAAAAATGTAGACTTGTGCATGTTCAAGAAGTATACTCGATTCAATTTTTCTCTTAAATTACCTATGTGATTTTTCAAATTCTGAGTTTTGTAATTTTTAATTATAAAATCATGTTTTCAAATATTTTATTGAATGACTGTTCTATGGCAAATGGTAATTGTAATAGTACAAACTTTTTTTTTTCAAATGAAAACCAACTTTTTACTGCAAATATTTTTAAAAGCTTGTTATGTTGCTCTTAAAAGTTGAYGTACATTAATAAAAAGCATGTATTATGATGACAGGTTTAAAAGAATTGGGAACAATGATAGTTAAAAAATTATTACTAATTTATTCATTAATTATGTAATATTAAATTACTATACTCTAGCAGTTCACAGACAAGAGAAGTTAATTAAACATTTACTGTAGTATGATTATTTTACATACCAATAGATGAAAGTTGTGCTAACCATATAGGAAAAAATGCACAATACAATTTTGTATAATCCGAGGTATAATCGTAAGCTAATTTTWATGTCTAGATAGTAAATAATATTAAACACTTACCACTCGGTASGCAAATCGCAATAAGGTTCAGTTATTGAACTCCCAACTTCAATACTTTTAACTTTAATTTGTTTAATTTAAACGTGCACATGTATACGTATACTGACTATACTGTTTGAAATCGGGTGTCTAAAACTTCAAAGCTTGATAAGTGACCGTTTTTCCACAGAATAGATACAATGTGGTTTTTCGAACAACTTGTGATAAGAAACCTTGTATGTTGAGTTGCATATCTTAGTCCGCGGGGGCACCAATGCACCAGTTTAAATATTCAATCATACTACGACAATCGCGCGGTCCTATTTCTTTTAAGATTAAATTTATTATTATTATTTCACGAAATGTCATACAGTTTTTAAATTAAATATAAATATAAATTATAACGATTTGTCTCCAAAAGCAAGCTTGAGTAGGAAACAAAATTTTGTATAATATATTATACTAATTTAATAAACATTTCATGAAAAAATAAATTTACTGTTATGAAATATGGAAACATAATACATTAACGCTATGTCCTACGTGAACGCGGCGAGTGCGAGCGAATTCTATCCTGACCATGCTGTTCCCCTTTTTCGCGTCGCGACGAAATACAAGCTGTTTTGTTTTTTGCCTCGTTCACRTAGGACATAGCGTAATACCACATATTTACTACGAACCTAGTCTAGGTTATTGCAATCATCTTATACAGTTATGCTTGTTTATTCCTCATTCGCTGTTATGCTTTAGAAATATAAACTATTTAGATCTATGATTGCAATAGCCAATAGCTAATACATTAGGTACCTTCAGATAAATCGATAATATAATATACAACTATATACTCTATTCGCCGTAAGTTGACCCACTTGCGCGCATGCCGCATGCATACTGAGCCGCCGGAAGTTCCGGTACAAATAATTACAATAAATTTAAAAAAATGGTCATATCAAAAAAAGCTGGTAAGTCGTGTATGTCGCTCTGCTGTACAGTAGGTTACAAGTGGGTTACTGTAATGGATGGAATTAAATTTGAATCCAATGATATTATATCAT